TTTTATGTGATTTGAGCTCATTCATACAAAGAAAGGTGTTATTAGCTGCAGTGTAAGAAGTCCCACTGGTATGTCTGATACACAGGATATGCAATAATTTGTATGAATAAAACCTTCCTCAGTCATAGGAATTCATAGCATAACCTTCTTCTGCAGAAGATTTTTGATTCTTTGGATCCTAGTAATTCAGTCTTCCCACTGCTCTTGTCTCTGAAAATTGTAGTAGGAGTGTCAGCTAATTACAAGAATGTGAACTATTTCATTAAAACCTTAGGAAAGCCTGTTCTTTTCCAGGTGGTTTGCTTGGATTTCTACTGTCTCAGGACCATATTTCCTTAGAAAATGTACACTGAGCCAAACAGATCTTTTCACAGTGATCTCAGATCAGACCAGAAGAGGGCCAGATATCACCAGCAAATGCAGCTGCAGTCACTATTTGCTCAAAGTCAAATGCATCCATACATGATTATCAAACTTTGCTCTTCCCCAAACAATTTATTTTGAACAGCAGAACCAAGCACAGTTTTCTGCAGCGTAAAGGAGCTAGCTACAGTTTTCACCTAGTCTTAGCACTATAACAAAGAGTATAATTAAAATTTTGTAGTGACCGTGCAGCCAGAAGGTACAAGATTTAAAAGCGAATTCATTGTCCTCAAGCAGCTCATTTTCTGCCACCCAGAAATTTAAAGCTCCTGTGCAGATGCAGGACAGCAAAGGTAAGGCCTCCAGCACAGAGAGGTAGAAAGAGACATAAACAAATTCTCTTTCAAGCTCCAGGCGGAGGCTGGTGCTGAAGAGCAGTTTTGCGAGAGTGTTATGAACACAGAGTCTCATACCTTCTAGACTGACTTCCAGCCACTCACAAGTGCCTTATGGACATGACCAAAGGGTGGTTCTGCTGTCTTCTGATCAGGAGGAGATCAGTCAGAAGCTTTGGGGTGACTCAAAATTTTTCCATCCTGCTGTATTTGTTTTCTTCCAGCAGAGTAACTAAAAATAGAAAGGACTAAACCTGCAATAAAGGGCAACACAAATTTAACACGTTGTGGCTGAGAAGGAATACAATAATTTGCAATGGCATCCTCTAAAATCCATTGCCAGGCTTCCATAATTATTGCAAGTTTGTCCGTGGTCTCCATAGCAGCCGAGACAGGATGCCAAACCTGGAGTGGTTTCCCGTAATACAGCGGTTCCTGAACTATGGTAGATGTACCGCTCATGGTACGCAAGCCACCTCAGCGTGGTGCTCCGACACCTCCCCGATGTTGCCGCAGGGCGTACGAGGGTAAGCAGGAGACATTGCTGCTGCTGCTGCCACTGGCAATGGTGGTACCCAAACAGAAATATTTGGAAACTTCTCCTTTAGTAAGTTGCTGGGCTCACACTCTGTCCCTGAACTCCTCAGAAGGGTAAAAACAGCTTACCACAGTGCTGCAGGAAGAGCTGAGTACAGCCCTCGCTGTGAGGCTGGGACGGTTTCCTAACCTCATTAGTGGTACCGCTGTAGGTACAGTCTGTCCCTGTCATAGGAGACCTCCCTCACGGTGCTGTCACCCCGGAGCATCCACTCCAGGGTGGTACGATGGGCAACTGGTCCTGGCACAAGTGCCTCCTCAGCAATAGGCTTGAGCTTTGCGGCAGATCTTGGAAGAGGGGAGATCAGAAATGAGATTTTTCCTCCCAGCTGACTGCCCTAACCACAGAGTCACAGATTTAAGCTTTCTTTTCTATTCTTTTCTGTCTTCTCGTCCCCAGGAATCTCATTTTCCTGGAAAAGTGGGTGCCCTCCCATGCAGCAGAGGGGTAGCTCCTCCCAGCTTGCTGAGCCCAGTTTATAACCTTGTATTTAAAGGGATAATTTTGTACTTTGAATCTCCTTGGACTAAGGAAAGGCAGAAGCCCAGGCCACCCACTCACCGGATGAGACAGGGCAGCCTCTGGCAGGTGCTGTTAGTGGATAGCTGTTGTGCACTGGGGTGGACACAGTGGTTTAGCAGATTGCTGGATGTGTCAAGAACAGATTTGCCAGGACAGGCCCATCTCGAATACAGGCAGTTAGATAGTGCTTCGTTTTCTTCTTAAAACACAGTGGATCCCGAGGTGAATAAAAGCAAGAAACCTGTAACATATTAGTCAAGCGAATTACCTCACAGTTACTGAGACAGCAATATCAATCCATACTACCGCTAAACCTCTGAAGGCACAACTCCATGTGCATTTTTTCAGCAGCAAAATCATCCTGAGATGTCCTCTGCCTCACTGCTCATTCCTACCCCACCAAAGAGCCATCCCCTTCTCAGGTAGGTTAAGGTTTGCCTGCCCAAAACCACTTGACGACCCATTTCATTCCTGAATTAACCAGTGCACCCTATCACTCAACTCATCCCACAGTTCGACAGCCCATGCCTAAACCAGATGTTCCCTGCTGCCCTTCAGGCCCGTTTTCCTTTCTTCCCGACCATAAAAGTCACAAGGACTAGATTAGCTCTGTCCACCCCGGTCCTCTCCCTACCCTAAGCAAACATCATTGCTTAGGAGTTGGAGACTGGTCAGCACCTCCCCTGTATAGCGGGCGCCAACGGCAGCCAGCAGCATCTCCTGGTGCCTTCCCCGAGAACGTCTGGTGACACAAGACACTGCTACAACACATCCAGATCAATGACTTCAGTCTGCCTCTCCACTGTCTTTCTCACCTTCAAGGCTAGACTACGCAACAGCTGACATTAAGCAGAAGTTACATTGAATAATGGTGGCAGTCATGTCACAACAGTGTTGCTATGACACTTCGCAGCTTCACCTACTGAGAATGCTCAGTGGAGCCCTGATACCGTCCATCAGCTGAAACAGAAAATATTTTGCATCCAGATAGACAAAGCTGTAGGGTTTTTCTCAGAATTATGGGTTTGACGGTGGCTGTAGCACCCTCCTTGGGGCCCACTGGGCTTCAAAAAACACAACACAGTATCTGCTGCTCTGGGGTACCACCAGCCACTGGATACCCATGACTAGCACCAGCATTTATTCACAATGCTCCAACACCACCTTACAAATATTCCTAAAAAGCAAAGATGATGAAATAAAAGAAGTAAAACTATTTACACTAAGTCTAAAAAAGGATGGCTTTCTTCCTTGTCAAGTTGACTTCTCAATTTCTGGCAAGGCCATATCCCAGACCCCTCTCAGCCACTACCCCATCTCGATGGCTGTAACGCTTTCAAAGCCACTCTCTCCCTTCCAAAATCCTCCCCAGGTCAAGCCAGCAGTCACCTGCTACCTGAAGCGTATCTTGTTCCATGTTTACCCAGAAGCTAGGCTAGCCATGCCTTTTAACTGAAACTGGCATTGCTTCACTTTCCAAAGATGTTAACATCTCTGTCATTTGCATTCAGGAGATAGTACCAGTTCTAAAAAAAATATAAGAACATCTTGACCATCTTTCTTCGTACCTTCCCTTTCCAATAACAAATGTAACTTCTTGAACTGGGATGTTGAAGTTATCTTCAACTCAAAGAGCAGAGATTGAAGCAACTCCCTTTCCACCCCCCAAAAAAAAACCATGAAGTAGCGCTCTATATCTGCACCACTATTTAACTAGCCAGTCGCATTTGGTACAGAAAGGGTCATGAACAGCATACTACTTCTGATGTTTTTATTGGTCACAGGCAATGTTACAAAGCAGTTACACTGAATAATGCTGTCACAGTCATATCATAATGTGAGGTTGCTAGAACACATTTAAATTTCACACAGTGAAACTAGAAAAAAAAATCATGCTTGTAACAGAAGATCAAGAAAATACATTTGGTTAAAAGAAAAAATGGTCCCAGGATCTCAGCCTACTCAAACTGAAGTTAATGGAAAAGCTTCTACTGACTCCAGCAGGCTTTGAATCCAGCCTCCAACACCCCCTGACCAAGCTGTAAGGCACAACGCCTCTCTGCTCAGTCACAGGCTCTTCATTCTTCTAACATACTTGTGCGTGATGTATTTTCTTCTTTTTGAATGAAAATAACATAAATGTCTAATTGACTATGCCAAACTTTATACGTAACAGAGCCAATTTTGGCTCATCAGCTTTAGAGAGAGTGGGAGAACTACAAAGGTGATCGCATGTGTACTGGAAAAGGAGGGAGCTCCTACACTCCTGAGTGCCTGTAGCAGCTGTTCATGTGGCCCAAAAGCTTCCAAGAAAGCTCATTACATCCTTCTTCAGAATTTTCATCCAGCAGCATCTGCATTCAAGATGGGTAACTTATGTGAGCTGGAATTTGGGTGATGTAGCGCTAAGAACGGCTACAAATGCAGCTAGGATCTGGTCGTTTGCTGCCAACAGGCAACTGAACAGCCTGTGGGCATTTACTGTAGTGATGAGATGCGCCATTAGAGAAGATCGTCTTACCATTCTAACTAAGGCAATAATCTTAGTGCACAATTTGCGCAATTACCTTTTCTTGACAAAAATGGGATTTCAAAACTACAGCTGATAATATCATGCACCAAATTGAGAAAGAGATCTTTGTTTCAAGAAAATAAAATCTTTTCTTCAAATCTAAGTTGAATTCGAAGTGAGATAATTATTTCTTGGAGCCCAGAGATCTTCCTGAATTAATCTCTTCTGATTTGCAGGTGACTTGATGCATCCTACACCTGCTCATTCTGAGGATGAATATAAAACACGCAAATTGTGTATCAAATTTCCCTTCAGCGTTGGAGACACGAGAGGGCAGCAACATGCCACGGCTTCCCAGCTAACAGACCTCCTTCAGCCAAGGCGTCTTGTCTGTGCTGGGCAAGTTTCAGTTACCAGTCTCACTAACCTCAGTATAGCTTCTTGCACCACAAAACTTCATTATTTTATGAGATCCAAAGCTCAAAAAGTAATTCATGCTTCAAGGAAAACTGGAGTGAGAGGCACTGTTGTTTGTATTTCAGTGGTCACAGAGAATGTAGTTATCTCCCAGAACTGTATTTGCTAATTATCTATATTTTTAAAGTATAATATTGATCATAACCATGCTTTATAAACTTCTCCCTCTCCAGTGCATATAAAAGGTAACATTTCTGTTCGTGTCTCAGACTATGATGATCAAATGCTATTGGCATTTAATAATGGACATGGTTCTACCACATTCAAGTGGGAATGACAGGAGCTGCCATCCTGTGTTATATACATAGTCCATCAGCAGTCCCTGAGATACAAATATGGCACCCACTCTCCTCCCTACTGGCGTTTTGGTCAAGAGTTCTCAATAAATGTTCCAGCTTATTTTAAACAAAAGTTTTCATTAATTAAAAACAGTCTATTTACAAATCAGTTGTGAAACGGACAACAACATTCCATAGGAAAAATCAGATCATTTCAAAAGTTGGTAGATATGTTTTTAACTGTAAAATCTCAGCTGCTGGCTGTTTTCTGTCTTGATAGAAGCTGAGTCCAGTAAGTAATTCTATATCTCTGACCCGAGCTGTATGAAACTTCATTCTCTCTTCAACCCACATGGACTCAGACTTGCCATCCTATTGGGACAGAGGAAGGAAAAGAGTTTGTGAAACTTTTTTTTTTCTGACATACATTTAATTAATTAGCAAAAGACATTTTGTTGTTTTATAAAGACAGAAAGCAGTAACTGCTGGCAAACATCTAACAAAAAAAACAGAGGGCACTGGATTCTAAATAGTTAAGAGCTTGCCTGAATTTAGTACTTGCCGTTACTTCCTCAAGTATAGAAAAATTGTAGCTGCACCAGTGGAAGTTGGTGATAATGGAGAATGGCAGGTGAGGTCCAGCATCTATCCACCATCTCTGTGATAAAACTACTTCGAGAGCTGTGTCTGACTTGGGCGGTGACTTGCATAATTCTTCACTGTAGGACAGGTCTGCTCACTTTCCATGCGTTGTTCTGGTTTATATAGAGCGCAGCTACGTGCATCCCCACCACAGTGCTAAAGTACCTGAACTGGAAGCAACCAGCGCTCCTCAGAAACATCTGTGTATTCTCCTTTTGGGTATGCATTTGGCCTAGCCCTGACCTTTGTTTGTGGATGACTCATCTCCTAGAAGCTCTCCATCCTTCTCACCTATTGACGGGATACAGAAATCTATGTATGTATCACACTGATTGCCTCAACATACTCTGACTCTACCCCACTAGCTGTAAGTTTTGCTCTTTGAACAGGGAACTTCTATTTTCACATTTGAGCATACATACAGACTTTATCATAATTCTGTTTACAAAAATATTGTCTTCTCTCTCAAGATGCTCATGACAGACCATTCTGTTTTTACAGTCTTTAATTAGTTAATCACTGACATCCAAGCAGAACAAGCTCAAGCCTGACTTCAGATGTTTATGGGGACTGAACAGACTACTTACTGCACAGCTTTCACTGTTGTCTTCTCTGTGAGGTACGATGAAAGACAAGGCATCTAGAGACCCTTCACACTCCAGAGGAGTTTCAGAAGTATTTTTACAACTAGTCAGCACAACGAAGAAATGAGTTGGAACTGGAATTTCTGAGTTACTGGGATGTCTGAAACACAACAGATCTTTCTGTAAACCCACCAAATCATACTTGTACAAAGAACAAATGACAACAATCAGCTATATTCTAGCATATCAGTTTTACCAATCCACCCATTTAGCCCAAAGAAAGCTTGGGCCTGGAAGGAACATCCTATATTACTATTTCGCAAATCAAGTTTGCCTTGTATCTAAGTAACAAGTTTGTATAACAAAAACAAACTGATTTATCATAAAAATGTGTAAGAATCCAGAGTAGATTTAAAGTTCAGCCTGAGTCCAGAAAACCATCTGCCTGCTGCCTTGAACCAATTTTGCAAACATATTCGTACTCACAACTTTGTAGTGGAACACTGACAGCTTAGGAAGTGTCAACCATGACACCAGCGATAAGCCCCTGCCTTGTCCACTCCTAGAGGCCGTGTCATAAGATTTCAGGCTAGTGGACATTCTTCCACATGCAACAGCTCCTCTCACACTTCACCTTCAGGTTTCAGGATGACACATTTTGAGGGTGCATTTTATTTCCTCTTTGTGCTTGTTGCTTATTTCTTAGCTTTACAGTTCTGTACCTGCTTAGGGCCACTTGACTGTCTCTCTCTGAACTGATATAACCTGCCAAGGGCCCATCTCCACAAGATGCTTTCCTTGGTAACAAGGATCATAATTCCTTTTTGACCACTAATGGAGGAAAGAAACAAAGGATTAGAAAGTGAAAGGTTCCTACCTTTTCACCTTTTCTGGGGTATCATAGAGCCCATCGGAATCATAATCAAACACAGGACCACTGACTACATTGACACCGTTCCTGGCTGCAGCATATTCTGGTAGCAGGTATTGATGGAAGTAGTTCCATAACACTGAAACACAGTAATGGAAATGAGAAACAGATCTTGAAGGTAGAAGCTATTAATACAACTCTGCAGAGTTTTCACTGGAATATAAACAGACATGATAAGCTAGGAAAATAATAAATTATACAGGTGTTTACAGTTTTCAGAGGCTCCATCTAACTGAGCAGCAGCATGCATGCAGTATGCCCTGGCATTGTGGTTTCCCAGTCACCCTAACCACAAGCCTAACTGAGGCACAGTGACGCTGCTTCCTTATGGCCCTGGGTTTCTTTCCTTGGAAACCAAAGCACGGAGAGGCTAGACGGGGGAAGGTGAGAGAAGACCATCCCTGCCTGTGTCTTGCTCCACTACCAAGTTGGCCTGTCTAGCCTGTACACCCACACCTCTGAGCTGGGAAGTATTTTTAAAGTTCTTCAGTTTAGACGTACCTGAAACATCTCCTTACTGATATGATCTTTTTAATCACAGTTGACCGCTATTCTATTACAAAACAGGACATCTCTTTTGACTAGAGGAAGTGCCATAGTTATCCTTCTTTTTCACCAGGAATGTGCTTAATCTCCCTCTCACCCAGGAAAGCCCAGGTCTTCATGCCTTTTCTACTAGAGATATGATTAATTTGCTGTTTCCTTAGTGATTGGTGCCTTAGATTCCTGCCTGGAAACTCATCTGAGTTTAGAAGACATTCCTACACCAGAAATTAATTTCACTCACATAATTATATATGGTTATCTGGGTTGTCTAGAAGATATTCAGTATAAAACCCTGTTTAGGTAGGTAGGACAAAGCAAATAAAAATGTCAACACATTAAATGGAGACACTTATACCCTGCTCCCATGTAATGAGCCAGTTGATTAGGAATCATAAGCTCACAATGGTGGGCCTTTTTCACAACAGTGATAATCCTACTTCAAGAAACTTTTCATTGAAGTAAGCAGCCCACAGTCTGTGGAGGTCTTATTTTACAGAGGCAGCTGAACCAGGGATCATTTGCATGGTTTGGAAGCAAGCAAAAAACCAGAAGTTTTTCTTATATTCAACCATGCACACAAAATATACATACAAATAAAATACCTTTAAACGCAGGATACATTGGCACAATATTGCTGGTAAGCAAGGCATCATAGTGAGGTTTCTTTGCATCTGTCATAAAATCTAAAACAAAAAAAAGCCATTAATTATCTGGATTTCTTACTTAAAACTTACATTGTCATGCTTTTAAAGACCGGTGTAATAACATTAAGGTGGAGCTGTTCTAACTTCACTTTCCAAAGCTGATGTGGGTCTAAGTGCTAACTTCAGTATATGCTGGATCCCATTCAAAACAAATAATCTTTAGTAACAGCAATTGCACTTGTCAGGTATACAGTGGACAAATTTTCATGAGATTTAAAATACCAGAACAGACTTTTGAATTCTGGGAAAGGGAATAAAATTCACTTCATGAGTGTCAGACCAACTTGTTCTGACTGCAGAATCTAGGCATAAAAATAGGAGCTCTGCTGGAACTTTGCAAATTACGCTTGATGTGGATGTCTGCATAACCTAATACTCATACTTTATGCAGTAAGGTCAATGTAAAATGCTTCCAAATCAGGTCAGCAACTGTTCACAAACAACTTAAACCCTTGTAAACAGCTAAGTATTTTGCAATATGTTTGAGAATCAGAGCTGCATTCTCCAGACCAATGCTGAATTGCTTTACTAAAGACAACTTATGGCACACAACAGTATATTTCAAACACAAAATAAACTTATCAAGGCAGTTTTTTACTTAATGATACATCCTTAAATTTCACTTTGGATAGTTCCAACTAACACCTGTCATACGAAGTGAATTTGCAATTTACTAGCTTGCCAGACTTGACTCAAGGTTTACATGTTCCTTCTGTGAGGTGCCACTTTAGAAACCTGACAAATTCCAAAGCTTTTGGGAAGTACTAAATGACCTTGGACAATCCACCAAAGGCTGAAGTGCCTAAAATGTTTCTCTTTCTCATTTGCTGAAATGAACTGTAACAATTCAGCAATTACTGCTTCATACTCTGATTAGTTATCAGGAACATCTATAAAAGACTACACCAAGTACATTACAAATTATTTAAATCAGATCTGCTGTACAACAAAGGCAATGTACGTACTTGGAGGAGAAAGGAATCCATAAGTTAGGCGAGGATGATTGTTGTAAAAGAAACATGTCTGGTTATGATTAAAAGAAATACGAACATCCTTGTGTAAACAGCTGGAGGTATCTTCTGTAGTAGAAACCCATTTGTCCTATTGAGAAATAAGAAAGCATCATTGGTAAAACGGATAGCTGCTGACTTACAATAATTCTCTCAATTTAAGGGACTGCAGAACTCTAAATATTTACAACTGCCTTTAATGGTGTGCAGGGACTTAACTAAAATGCAAGAATTGTTCTTCTTTGTCAGTGGAAAACAAGCCCTGCCGTTCATTTAATATATTTGGGAAATAAAGCAAAGAACTGCAGCATTTTAGTTGAGTTGAGAACAACTTCTTCCAAAAGAAAACCTAGAGGTGCCTATTAAAGATAACCTGATCTACTGTAAATATACTTGTTCATTCAGGCTAGGAATCAGGCAGCCAGATGTGGTGTTAGCCATCTCTCTTCACTGGGACACTTGTTACAGTAACTGTTTCCCACTAACCTCAAACTATTTAGAATCAAGCAAGTCTTGCCAGAGTTCAGTTAAATTTACTTATAATAGTCATTATTTAGAACATGTGATTCCCAGATAATCAAACCAAAAAGCAACCTCTGCTGTCCTAATTCCTTTTAAGCATGACATGGTTTCTAAATTCTTTCTGCATGGGAAAGGACAACTTGAAAAAAACCCTTTCATTCACAAGACCAGTGCTCTGCATGAACATGTGCATCTCAGCATCGGGTTCAGGACAGCAAAGATCAGATTTATCTCCACTGACATCTTTTCCTCCCCCCAGTGAGGATGATCTTTGTGACAGAAGGATCAGACCAGGTCAGGATCAGAATCGTTCAAGATAGTCCAGAGACTATATTTTCAAAAGGGTCCTGCCACATTACAAATACCACTTTAAGACTGCGAAACCCCTGTTGAGACCAGACTTTTAAGGACAGCACTGGCAGACTGCTACAGCAGACCTCCACTGCCAAGCAGTAAGCCAGTGCAGACTCACAGGGCCTCTACATCAAAGGCAATGGGCTTCTCACCTCCCGGTGGATCTGCTCGCTCTGGAAGCAAAGCTGCAGCTCACTCTGAGAAACATGAAGGAGCCACACCCAATCCTTACTAATGTAGGAAAGTAAAAATAAGCTGATACAAAATTATTCGTTTTACCTCATGTGGCTCTACTTCATTCCCTGGGAGATATCATGAGCAGATCTAAGAAGCATTCAGGAATAACTGACATTCAAGCTTTTTTACCTTTCAAGTTTGCTTCTAATCTTTCTTCAGATACTTACATCTGCGTTAACAGTGTACGCACTCCACAGAGACATCCTGTAGTCCTTGCTGTATCCACTGACATAGCGGTAATGGTAAAGGAGGCAGTAATTAAGTCTCTTCTGCAGAACCCTGGGCCGTCCGTAGGGCAAAGTAAGCTTCTCTGTCTTCTTAACTGCAGCAGAAATAGTGCTTGTTACCTTTCAATCAATACTGATTGTTAAGCATCTTCCTCTTTTATATATATCTATGGTTATCCCAATTTCCAACTGTCAAACAAACAGAAATCACAGTAACAGAACAAAAAAAATTCCATTCTTATATCAAAGGTATAGTTTTTATGCTAAGGCAATAAATTAAATGACAAAGTCAGTATAAAGTAATCATTTTACTGATTACATAAAGTAATCATCAAACAAATTAAGTTTACATCTAAAAAAACATTTTGCCATTTTAAACAGGAGACAGATGTAAGTTGCAAGGTTAAAGTCTTTGCTGACTGTATTTCAATTTAAATATGTATAATGTGGGATCTGCTTCTACGTAACATTTAGATGGGACAGTAACCAATTGTGGTGATTTGAAATCTGCTGAGGGGACTATTTTAGTACAAACCACAGTCATATGTAAAAGTGGCATTTAAAGGACTAAGAAATACAGAGCTCTAAATAAATGATACAGTGTAGTACTGGTTGTTTTTTCAGATGTGCAAGGACTTGCTTTATAAAAAGTGTGATAGCCACAAAACCTTCCTTCTCCCTCTCTCTCATGGACCACATCTCTTTAGAAAGTTTGTATACAGAGAAAGGTTTACATATAATACTGCACAGGGTTTTTAGCTGACCCTTGCCTAAAGCATTGCTTGGTTATTGGTCAACTACTGCATCCCACGGAAGAGTGAAGACTTTCCTTTAAAATTGTATCAGAAAGAAGCTATGTGAGATCAGCAGAGGATAAGTCATTAGACAGAAGCTGAAAAGTAAAGCAGTGTTAGCAATAGAATTACTTTGGGATCAACACCATTTATCTTTGAGAAAAAACAAAGTAGTAACAAAACAGAGTGATAACAAATGCATGCCCTTCTAAACATCTGCTGCAGACAAATGTCAGCAGAAAGTTTCAGTTTTTAACCCCTAAGGTAGACTTCAATTTCATCAGAACATTGAATGTTTACATTTTTGCAAACAGAAAACAAGCTCAAATAAGTTTTTCAAGTTTTGAGTTCTCTGATGTAAAATAAAAACTAAGGAAAACTAGCACATCATGGAAAGATTTTAAACTAACAAAATCATCACATTGCTGTTGAAAATAAATATTTTCAATCATTACATGGCTGGAATTATAAAGCAGGCATCAAAGTATATTTTCCATTAAATAGGTCACTACCATCCACAAATTATGCAGAAATAAAATTTCAAGGCAACTGTTTTAAATGGGGAAAGAAATTGAGCAATGAATGCTGCAGGGTTTTTTCCCCACAGTAATTCCAAAACACTAAAAAATGCCAAGATCATGACACTTATTTCTCCACCCACAAGGGAAAAGGCAAACAAGTCACATTTTTTTCATAAAACTAAAAATGCAGTTAATATTTTGTTCTTACGGCTATCACGTTATGACAATCAATGAGAGAATATGCAAACTGAGGTAACTAATAAACTGTAAATAGTCTTAAGGAGCATTTAGGCTGGTTACTAGAATTCTTTCATCTGTGACAATGCTTTTTATATCTAATTAATAAATGATTAATTAATACAATTTATAAGGAAATTACTGCTATTAAGACCAGTGTTAAGCCAGGTCTCACTGACAATCCAGGCCAAAATCCTACTATTTCAAAAATCTAGTTTTAGAGCCTTATTCTCTATTTCTAAGTTCCTGTTCCTACAAAATGGGACTGAAATTGGTTATGCACTTGGCCTTGCCATATTTCTTCGAAGCCGGGTTCAGCAAGGCACTCAGACATCTAGCTACACAGTAGTAGAGCCTATTTCAGTGAAACCACTCACAAGCTTAGGGCAAAGTACACTGTATCGTACTAACTGGATTTCATTTTTGTTGCTCTCATGAGTGTTACAACACTGAAAGAGTTATTTTAAAAGGGTTCTAGGACACATTTTAAAAAGATGCCCTGTTGTTAGTGGAAAAGATTAAAGAAAGCTCTACCCATCCTTTATGCCAGGACAAGCTACACAATCCAACAGAAGCCTTAAATTAGCCCTGAATAAGCAGCAAGTACTGGATCCTGCCTGTAACTGGCATTTAAGTCCAGCGCTTAATAGTGAGCTACAGTGAGGTGTCGCCAAATACAGAGTTTATTTGCATAAGAAACAAGGTTTCATGAACATACACGAGGCAAGGTCTATATCATCCCGTTTCTCATTCCGACAGCCTGATCATCTTGAATTTGTCTTTTAAGGCACTAGCACTAAGGGCTACATTCCATTTTGACTTACAGTTTTCATGATTTACTTATTGTCTTACCTGCTTCATGCTAAAACCAGTTTATTTTCGTAGTATCATAGCATGGTTTGGGTTGAAAGGGACCTTATAGGTCGTCTAGTTCCAACCCCCCTGCCATGGGCACGGACACCTTCCGCTAGAGCATGCTGCTCAAAGCCCCGTCCAGTCTGGCCTTGAACACTGCCAGGGAGGGGCAGCCACAGCTTCTCTGGGCAACCTGTTCCAGTGCCTCACCACCCTCAGAGTAAAGATTTTCTTCCTTATACCCACTCTAAATCTACCCTCTTTCAGTTTAAAGCCATTGCCCCTTGTCCTATCATTACATTTTTGTTTTATGAGTCATGAGCATGTCCACAGCCTTGCAAACTATAGCTCAAATATGGCATGCACATGTCCAGAGAATGGAAATAAAGTATAAGCAAAACAAGCAACAGCTTAAGACCGTGTAACAACTTGATCGTGTAAAATACCCCTTATGCTTCATTGAAAGTATGTTGCCATCGTGATGTCGGTTTTTGCAGGGATTTCTTATCAGATACTTCCCCATACACTACTTTTGCTTCCCATTCTGGAATGCTCACTACTTCAGTGCTAGAAAATTCAACAACAGCAGATAATACATGTGCCATAAAGACACACGTATAAGGATACACATTTATGTGAGAACAAATGGTTCAGTAGGATTGTACTTGAAAACCTCAGAACTACAGCCCCAGAGAGTATTTCAAAGAATTTTTACCTCATATACTTGAGATTTGCTCAGAAGTTTTGACATAAAACATTTTATATTTTAATGATTCTTGTTATTATTTACTTTTTTGTTACAGTTTTCTATTACTATCTAAAGTTCTTACCTTCTGTTTCAGTGAGATTTAAACGCTGATGGAAATCCCTTATTGGCAAGCCCTATAATTATAAAGCAAAACCAGTGAGATTCTACAAAGTGTTCTGCAAAGCATATTATGAGACACTACTACACTTGAAGTAACAAAAGTAACACCTGCCTTTCAAGTTATCGCTATACAGAGCTCACTGACATCTACTGGAGAGGGGCTACAGAGAATTTGCAGACACAAATTGGTTTTGCCACAAGCACATCTACAGCTTTGAAAACCACAGCCCAAAGACACAACAGTCACAGAAGGCACATTTCAACATAATCAAGTGAAGCAAGCAAGAACTGAATGCTTTCCCCATCAAAGCTTGGTTCTGTGGCGTCTTCCAGGCTCTTCAGAGCTGAATACGACTTTACATAAGCAAACTGCAAAAATGAATATACAAACACAGGCTAGTACCCACTAACCCCAGGCAAGATTTGATTTTGTAACCAATAGCAGGGGACTGCAAAACCAGCGGGTAAAGACAAACAAGGGAGAATCCAGAGTTTCACTCTGAGTGCAACACAGATGTCTGCCTCTACAACTTCAACCACTTCGGTACTCACCGCTGTCCTGCAGGAGCAGCCAAGGCTCACCGAAAAGGCTCTCTGTCCCACCACAGAGCATTCAGAAGGATGGCTTGCTTCTTTGGGATGGTGCGGGGTGTAAACAGGGTTCCTCAAAAGATGGTTTAGGCATCCATGAGTTCCGTTGTTTGGGGCTGGTTTCAAATCAAGCAAATCTATGAAAGAATTCAAGTGATATTAACAGGATGAGAAAGACTGTAATACACTGCTCCTTGTATTGCGACTACAAGCACAGGTGAGTCAACAAAGCTGCACTGCTTGCTGCTCTTAACACCCAAAAGGGAAAGCAATGTAACCCTTTTAAAGGAAGCACACATGTTCTTAGCTAGGGCTCAGGATGGCATTAGTGTGCTTGTAAAGAGGGACAGAACAAGTGCAAAAAATGACAGAGGCTTACATCTGAATGCAAGTAAGCTTGCAGCATCTGACCTTGCAGTGGGGAAGAAAGGGAATCTCAAACACATGAAGTTAGTGACTATATAACATGGAAGCTTTGGGGAATAAGCTTGCGGGCTTTCTGGTTTTGATTTGGGGTTTGTTTGTTGTTTTTGTTTTTTTTTTTATTATCTGGAAATTAAATACCTAAGTTTCAGTTAATAAGCATCACTAAAGGGTAAAGCCATAAAGAACCTATAAGAGCGTAGGTTCTGCTTGTCACTTAGGTCTCAAATGTTAAGCTTCAAAATGCTCACCAAAGTAGTCTAACCACAAAAACATCTCTATCCCACATACTTCTAAATCTCTGCCACTCAAGTAACTCAACCAACTAAAAACTGCAAACCACCAATGGTCAGAGAGACTTCAGATACCTTCAAAACACTGCATAGAACAAGCCCTATTTCATGCTTAATCTTTGCTAGCAATCACAGATTTGTTGTCCCTCCACTTCATTCATACTGAATCTATGAAATGAGATGTTTTCAAAACATAGAAGATGATGAGACACACTCATATCCAAAACCTTGGTGCCTAGAACACAACAGTTCAGAGTTGAACTTCCTTTCCTAGATGGGGGAACTGAACACATTTGTCCCTGCACTGTGTCACTCAGATATGTTAATGTCGTTCCCTCCAAATGAAGCTGTTTTGCTTTGGAAGGAAGAATAAAACCACCTTCCTGATCCTAGCAATCCCTGCTCCAATGAATACATCACACAAAACAGTGAAAAACCAAGTCAGAACCAGTGCTAGAACTCGGGTCCCCTCTTTGACAACTGAACTACATTGTTATGTTCCTATTATTTTAAGCACAGTATCCAGGAATTCACAACACCCCAAAAATCCTGAAGTCTGGCAATTTGAATGCCTTGGAAAACATGAGCTGAAATCCCCCAATTCAGACAAAACAATTAGTTGTACATATCTGGTGTTCATGCTTCAAGTGCTGAGATGTTGGAAAAATGGGAGGCAGCATCTCTTCTCTGGCTGCACTTTGCAAGAAGGTGCAGTCAGGCACCTCCATGTGAAATCCCAGAGCCCCAAACAACAAGTGAAAGATGCCTTTCTGCAGTCCAGAAGGCACCTAAGCCCTGGGCAAGGAAAAGTTTGAGTAAGTCACCTCACTTCATTTTCTATTTGGAAGTTAATGTGCTGGCTTTTGCACATCCTATTTTCTACACAGGATGGAGGAAATCTAGACCTCAATGACTGCAATTAAAACTTCTGATCTGTCACTGAACTTGCTTCGATGAGATGGCAGTAAGGGCTCTACCCCTCCAATGCAGCATACACTGAACAGATCAGGGGGACACGAGAAGGTGGTTCAAGGTCAACTATGACATGAGAAGACAGCAAAGCATCCAAGGGTGTGAGACACACAGCTCCTGACAATAGCCTGTTTGCTACTCCAGTGAAGAATTTAAAAGCACGGTTTAAATGTGGTATACCTGAAAATTGTCACTGATCTCAAGCATGTGCAGTGCTTCTGCTTAAGTGCTTTCTGGATCAAACCCTTTGGTGGTGCTTTGTTTCTCACAGAAGCAGATGTTAGAGCAAGCAAAGATCCTGGCAAGAGAGAGAGAGGCAGGAAATAATGGAAAATAGGCAAAGACCTCAAGGGGAACAAATAAACAGAAAGTGGTAGAACTAGTGAGAGACTTCTGGAGAAACCATGAAATACAGAACAAAGGAGAAGGGACAAATGAACAAGGAGTCACAGTAACATTGTGTTTGAAAGAGGGGCAAAAAGGAGGGCTGCAAGATGTCTAATTTTCTGAAAGAACACCACTTCTCCAGTGCAGTGTACGGTGCTAGAAACAAAGTGAAGAATATCTGTATATGGAGTGGGTTGACCTTGGCATCTGCAATTCTCAGATACAGAAGCAGACTGCATGGAACAGAAATCAATCATGAATTCTAGAGTGACACCATAGAGGGGTGAGAGTGAGGAAACCTGACTGCTGCAGCTGCGCAACTGCAGAGGCAATGAGCTCTAGAGCGAGACTCCAAAGCCATGGGACTACAGACCAACAAAACAGTTGCAGTCCATCAAAAGACAAAAAAAATAAGTATATTTGAAACTGTTGTTGTATAAGACAGTGAAAATGGACAGGGAAATATACAAATCTACTATAAAGGCACAATACGTAAATTGAACAAGTGACACATAGAATGATGAATTTGGGAGGAGGTTTATTATATGAATGAAGTAAACAAAAATAAAAAAAATCTAAATTTTATCCAAATTAAAAACTTATTTATATCAACCTATTTTATATCAATTAAAAACCATATTTACATTTATATAAAATTAAAAATACAGTGAAGGAAAACAACAAATAGGAAAACACATCACCAAATACAAGGAATTGTATTGTGAAAAGCAGATGGAGTGACTGAGCCAGGCTTTCTGGAAATGAGCTGCCTGGCGGCTGCACCCATACCCATTACTATGCTTGTTATTTATTGTTTCGCCTGAGTAAGGTTACCTGAGTGATTAGTCTGATAAAGCCTCTAGCTAGGTACGAGCTAGAAACATCCCTTCTTCTTGATGGTAGAGAAATTGTGAAGCAGTCAGTTTTAGTAGCAGTAAGTCAAAGGGCCCGCTCTGGAGCAGCAAGAGGAACACACAGAGCGACCAGTGTGAAGGAGAGATACAAGGTGGCCTGACTGGTAGATCCTAAACAGCCATTAGTTCTTTAGAAGCTCGACCTTTCTCAGAAAAAACAAACAGCTTTTTATTAGTGAAAATCAGCAATAAGTCTTAAGGACAAATTTCTAAGGACACTTAAAAATCTGTTGTTAGAATATTTACGATGCCCAAAAGATACTATATTTACTGAACAAAGATGACCCCCATTAATTGTACTTACCACACATTAAATTATATACTTCAATGTTTTCAAATGGATCAACTTGAGTACAAGACTTGAATCCTGGTCCAAAACCAATAAAGATAGCCTAGGATTTACAAAGAACAGTAAGGAAGAACTCTGTTTAAGACAAGCTGAAATGGAAAATATCTTCATAGTCAGAGACCATTTTCTTCCACGAACTTGATCTTTACTTTACCAACATAGCATGGATCAAGTCAAAATCATGTCTTTTCTTAAAAAAAGGGAAATGTATAAGAGTAATTTTTAAAAGTAGCAAAAGAGTATTAGGAAGCCCAAATCTGTCTCGTTGATGCCTCTGAAAAGTTGCCTTCAGCCACTTATGAAGTCCCTTGCTCTTCTCGGCTTTTGCAGAAGTTAAATTCGTCTTCTTAAATGCTTTAAGAGATTTAATGGAAATGTTGAGCCATAATAACCATCGCTTTTCATGCCCTGTAAACAATTTGGAAGCTTTTAACTTAAGGCTGTAAAAACAGCTGTGAGTAACATTTTCTTAAATGGCTTAAGCAACAGCAAGATCCTAGGCTTCTATGTCTGGTTCGCATCTGTTCATTCTTCTTGCACCACTTCCTGAGCTGTACTGGCACAAGCTATTGTGTAGCCATACAGTGAACCTGACCCAGGAACACTGCCAGCTCAAAAAACTTTCTATTTTCCTGCGGGCTCTTTTCCTTCTGGTTCAGTTCCCTGACCTACTTAACACTGCAGCCACACAAGGCTTACGCTAGCACAGAGCAGGGTTTGCTGCAGGAATAAGAACAAGGAGGCAAGGGCAGCAAATGCTTAAACTCAGCTGCTGCCAAAAAGACTGTTTTTAAACTTATCCTGAGATATTCAGCTTATTTTTAACTAAGTGAAATAGAATGCACCCATCTGTGCTATTAAGATAATGAATGAGCGACTGATGCTTTGCACTCAGCAGCACCATCCTGGGTAAGATCTCAAAGCTCTTTGCAAACAAAGCAATTGTCTCAAATTTCATAGCTGCATGGCAAAAACAGAGGCTAAAACCTCTAACTTTTGTTTTTGGAGATGAAAGCATAAACACAGACTGTCATTCTGCAACTGTTGGTACAAAAATCTGTAGGCTAATAATTTATCCAACAAACCTAATTTGAACCAGATGAGGCAGGGACATGCTACCTCCTTTCTGTTGAACTAGGGAATTACACAGTACAAAATCTATGCTGCTATGACGTCAGCCACAAGATCATAAATTATATCTGGTTTAAGACCAATTAGGAATGCTATGAACTGACAGTCCCAAGTCTGGCAGAAAGTTTGAACAGAGTCAGCCTACTAAAAAAAATTTACACAGTCAAATTGTAGCAGAGAGAGAATATACTAAGCCAAATGTCAGCTTAGTATATTAGCATTTGGCATCACATGGCCTTGCTGGTTGAAAGCCATTACTAGGTACCCTATCAACAGATTTTCCATTGTCAAACCAGGAAAGCAGAGTAGGCCTGGAAGGGTAAGCCAATACAATACTAACACAGGTTTTGGCTAACAGTTTTTAAAAACAGTTTGATGCCAACACTACATAATTCTACAAGATGTGAAAAATAAAGCTTTTAAGAGAAATCTATGCTTTATATGGACTACGTATGTCTTTTCATCAAACTTGTTTTCAATAATTTTTTGAATACAGGGTTCTCTCTTTATAGACGTGTTTACATATATTCACTGTAAGAGTACCAAGTACCTCACAACTGTTAGTGGATTTTATCCTGAAAATAGCTTTTTGAAATGAAGAGTATTGCCTTTCATTTTATCAATAGCAGATACTAAAGCAGTGGATAGGTTAAGTGACTTCCCCAAATTAGATGGAGCTGACCAAGGATCCGATTTCATGTTTCCCTGTGATCCCTTTCCACATCTCACTTAAGAGAAGTAGTTCAGGACTCTCCTTAATTTAAACATGACTGACATGCCCTCTCCTGAACAGACTACCTCAAAACAGTGATATGTAGTCTGTCATGACATAGTAGAATTACATTGTTGGGAGATCATTTAGTCAACTTTTGCAACAGACAGAATCAAAAGTAATCCCGTTATTTCTGAAAGATGCTTTTCTGACCAGCCGTTAGGCAATTCCTGTGGTAGAAGCTCCACAAACTTCCAGGGTAAACTGTTGTACTTGTTAACGGTTAAAAAAAACAGTTTTCTAATAACCAAATCAACTCTTCTTCACTGCAGTTTAAGCCTATTACTTCTGTTCTTAGGCAAGCCAGAAAACAAAGAATGGACTAGCCTTACAGACTAGGGCACTGGCTGGCCAGGGAACAACTTTTCTTGCCAGGGTCTGGGTGACACAGCGGACAGCAAGCTGAACGTGAGCCAGCAGCACACCCTGGCAGCAAAGGCGGCCAACAGCATCCCATGACGTATAAACAGAAGCTCAGCCGGTGACTGAGGGAAGGGACTATCCCTCTCTACTCAGCATTTCTTTAGGCCACATAGGGATACTGCACTGCCAACACAAGAATGACATCAATAAACAATCATCGCAAACTCAGTGGAGGGCTCCCAAGGTGACCGGGGCCTGAAGCTCTTGCCCTGTGAAGAGGAACAGGGCTTGCTCAGCACTGAGAAGAGACTGCTTCAGGTGGACCTAACAGCAGTCCCCCAGCACCTACAACGAGGTCATCAAGGAGACAGAGCTTTGCTCTTCAGTGCTATGCAGCAGGAGGCAGAGAGACAACAGACAAATTGAAACAAGAAAGGTTTCAGCTAGCTATAACTAAACATATATACACCAGGAGAACAGTCAGGCAGTGGAATGGATTAGTCAGAAGTTGTGGAGCCTCTGCCCTTAGCAGTTGTGAAGACACGAACTGCATAAAGCCCTGAGTAACCTGGTCTGATCTCACAGCTGACTGTTTTGAGTTGGAGGTGGGACTAGAGACTTCTCAAGGTCCCTTCCAATCTGAATTATCTTAAGATCTATAATAGCTGTATTTGAGGATTTGATGAGGTAATTTTTCTCTTTTCCTGCTTTTGATGTTACAACAAAATCAATTTGGCACAACTTTATACTCTTATCAGAACAGTAAAATTTCCAGGTTAAGTCACGCTTTTGCCCAACTCTTACAACAAAAGAATCCCACCTTGTGTGGGTTACCCAGCATGTCACAAGAGCAATCCTACAAATGCTTGATTTCTTTAATTACAGATGGAATAGTGTCACAGATCTCAAAAAAAAAAAAAATAAAAAAAATCTCAACACCCAGCAAACACAACATTCAGAAACAGAAGGAGCTAGAAGTAAGAGCTAGCATAAGTTTGTCTCACCTGCATACTGGGGAAGCGATTGTCTGAGCCATGGAATCCACCTGTGCAGCTTTTAATCTCCAGCGGTTTCCTGTTAAAAATTCACAGCTTATATAACTCGCACGTCACAAATCATATCAGTATAAAATACATTTGGTGATGCATTGTTTACGTGTCTATTTAAAGATTCTTAGAGGCTTGTCCATAGGGAACAGAAAGTCTTTAAGCTCTGGAAGCAAATGCCTTTAAAATCAGAATGATAGTTTTTTCTGCAAATGTTATCCTTTTGGAATTCTCAAGTGTCCATCAGTCATCTAAAGTCAAATATCAGATGACATATGAACAAAATATTTGTTCTCAGGATAAGAGATTTTCACTTCGCTGTCATTTGGGCAACAGAACTTTACAGTACTTCATATAAGTAAATTCTTAATATATTTTAGTTTTTTTAATAAAAACTCTAATTTAGACCATTCAGCTGGGCATCTTACAGTCTAATAAAAACAAACTCCCAACATATGCCAGGTCCATACATATTATTTAAACATGTACAGTTCTAGTAACCCAAACCTGAATTGTATAACACTGTAAACATATGCAAGTCATGCAACAGGACTTACTAAATACACAGACTGAAAAACTCTTGCATGACAAAAGCCTTGGAGTATCACAGAGGTGTTCAAAATTGTATTATTACAGCAGACGCCACTGTTCTGGAAGTTGTAAATTCACTGGCCAGAATATGTAAGGTAATTAACAATAGTGGGCTCAGTAAGCTCAGTGTATGCCAGCGGATTGCTGACAAGGCTGATTCAAGCAAGTAGCTATGCGCATGCTTAGCTTTCATGACTCACTTTGGACATTCCCAAAGCACAGCAAGACGTGCTCAAGTGTCTGACAAAGGGGGCCTTAGTTTCTAACATTTGTGCTAAAGCCTGCCACTACCTGCCTGCTCAGCAGGCAGAGTATCTATAGCTGCCAGCTTAGAAGTGAGCCTCCTCAGGCCAGCAAAAACTGTAGAGAAAAGCATGTAGTTTCTTTGCAACATCCCTTTGCTACGACAAACAAGAATACCACACTCCAGAGTTTATGAACTCTTTGGCATCTGGAAGAGAAAAGCTATGAGAAAACAAGAAATTATCTGCTGTATAATCCAGTACTGAAAACTGTAACTTACCTAGCAAGCTGCCACTTACCTAGCAAGCTGCCATTGAGAGTCTAAATAAAAGTGCAATGGTTCAATCCGGTCATTATAGGAATAATGGAAACGCTTGGGCAGCAGCTGTTTCATATAAGCTTTGAAAGGTTGATTTGGTTCTATGCACTGAAATGATTAAATTAAAATATAAAATGTACATTTCACCAAACTTTCGCTTATGTCATGCACAGTTCTTATAATGCACTTCAATTGCAAAGGGTCTGCAATAACTTCCCCAAAGGACAACGGGACTCCATCAGGTTTGGAGTCATATGGGCTGGGTCGTAAATATTAATAGCTATTTAAATAACAAATACTGATTGGTTTTGCATTCAATATTTATTAGATAATATTTTATATTGGATTATGGACATAACTTACTCTGCTTTTTCTTACAGCCTACAACTGTACAGAACCAAACAGTATTGCTGAATACTAATAAAGAATTACACTGAGACATGAACATCATGATACTTTCACAAGTGGCACAAGACTATCGAGTGCAATAATCCTACAGCTCTGTAATACAGAAAGTAACATTCAAAGGGTTTTTAGATTAGTGTCTCAGGGACAAATAGATTTTGCCACCAACTAAGATCCATTAATGATTTAAAAAAAACAAAAAACACCACCTAAAAAAACCCACAAGAAACCCTCCACTGTAATACTGGAATTTTTTAATAGTGACGTCATCTATACAAACAGCACAGCTCTCAGTGACATCGGTGTCTACACAACTGAGAAGCAAACAGATTGTGGTACAGGCATGAGAACAGAAGCCAGGCATATCTACACAACTGAGAAGCAAACAGATTGTGGTACAGGCATGAGAACAGAAGCCAGGCATAGAGCAAAAAAGCAAATTCCTTCAGCAGGCACTGACAAAAAAAAAAAAATCACTATCAAAAAGGTGTGTGCAAGAAAATCTTTTGCTTGTCCAGGAAACGGAGCTGAGCTTCACACTGACTTGATACTCAGCCAGTATAGTCCAGATGCACAAGCTCTCCAGTTTGAAGAGCAACATGATACAGTGCTAGTTAAGAGTTAGTGAAAAGAAATGAACACAAAATCTTAGTTATGCACAACCACAGACAGCCATATGACACCTTATTCAACTTTGACCTTCCCTTCCCCTATAGGGAACTACTTTTGTTGTTAGTGTTGTTAACTGTATAGCACGTGGAAGGTCACTGATTCAAAGTCCAGATGCTATGTAAGTAGCCCAGCAAACAGCTGATGCTATAAAATGCCTATAAATGTCAGTAGAAATTAAGCAAGAACAACAGATGAGAAGAGACTTACTGTGAGGTTTCTGACAATACCTTCATAATTAACTGGAAGAATCATATGCAAGAATTAGTCACCTAAGTTAAAAAAAATCAGATGTAAAATGAAAGCATTCCCATCATGTAATACAATTAGCTTAGTTTCAAAAAATTTCTGGACATGAGAAATTATTTTTCCAGAATGAAAACCATATGGAACAAAACAACCCTTAAACTGTCAAGCTATTGCTTTTATGAAATTTTAGTTCACAGTCTCTCCTCCCTTTGCTTACTTATTTACAGCTTTAAAATTTTAAACTATATTAGCCACAATTAGAAAAATAATCTGAAAAGTAAGTTTTCACAAAAGAGTCAATGAAATGCTGGGCTAATCCGTCTGGATTTTTCCTGTTTGCTAATAAACTTCTAAGGAAAAAGAAACAAATACAACTATTGGGACAGCAGTTTTATCTGGCAGGCATCCTTGGAAAGGTAGCCAAATGCAAGCTGGCTGAGATTCAGATGCTTCGACTCCAGCCAAAAGGGACCATTACATCATTCAGTTTCACATTTTATGTAACACAGGCCCATTACATTTCACACAGTTACTCTGTCCTGAGTTTGATATCCAATGCTTGATTAAACTACATAAAGGATTACACTGACAAGGGAACCATTAATAAATCCTGCATAGATATATGCAGTGCTACAAAGACAGCTATGCTACTTCATGAGAACAGTGCACATGTCAAAAGCAGGACATACTCTGCTTGTCTTCTTCCTGAACTTGTTTCTCCAGGGAGAACCTGTCCATTTGACTCCCACATTCTCCAGGCAAACATATAAAACAGTTTAGAATAGCATCAAGCAATGAAGTAAACAGGACTTCAAGTCCTCACTGGGGTTGAGGCCTACAAGTTTTAAAGGGTATGGAGAACAACAATCTAGATAGAAAAAGCCCCTATGAAACATGAAGGAAACACCTGTATTCAACATTAAAAAGTGCCAAAAACTGCAGGCATTAAATGTTCACCTAAAATGAGACCGCATAATGAATCAAAGTTTGAAATTTGTAAGCATTCATTGATTTTTACTCAGGTTTATTATCTTTTTTTATATTTATTTGCAGTTGAGTAAACTGTCAATCCATTAGGCCATTTTTTAATAATTAGAAAACATATTATATTACTCATAAAATGAAATGTAAAAGATAGTAACAATCTAACATTCCTTTAAGACAGAAATACAGCAAATTTATACATAAACTGGTAAACCAGGAAATGAGGTGAGACATGGCGGGGGGGGCGGGCGGGTTTGGGCTGTCTTGAGCAGCAGAGATCTGAATCAAAGGAACGCCATTCACAAGGCAAGGGCATTTGCAGTTGGTCACTCTGAAGCAGCCCACAAATGCAATCTGTAGGATTTAAATACACTTTCAGACCCACAAAGTCAAATGGTCTTTAAAAATAAAGGTGCACTACTCAGTATTTCCTCTTCATCGTAAACCAGGTTGTCCCTAGTTGACCTTCACTCAGGTTTACGAATGAAACATGTCGATCCTAAGTTTGTAGTCATAAGTACAGAAGTGTATAACTGAGTAACAAAAATTAGTTTAGCAATTACATACAAGAGAAATACTCATCTGGAACATTATTAGGTCTTATGCGAGCTGCAGGACCAGGTACTACTATGAAATCTTCAACACTGTCCAAATAGCTGTTCAGATATGCTGTTTTTCTGCAGCTCCCTGCTTCCATCCCTGCAAAAGGAAATAGATTTTATTTAAAAATGGAAATATCAATGCAGAACAGTTTTGCTGAGGAGTAATGTAACTTGAGTTGTAGAAGTAATTTCTCAGGTCTTTTTACCAGCAACTCCAAGACATCTGATCCAAGGAGACCACAATACTCCTCTTTGGAAGAGAACAAAACATAAGATAGATACACAAGCAGCCGTTTCTTCAACCGAGAAAGACACTCCAACTGAATAGAGACAAACTTTCTTCTCTGAAGGGAAAGAAATCTTATAAGCCTATGAACAGTAGCAATGGTCAGACCAAATACTCTTTTTTCCCCAACATCCTAGTGTTCAGTAACATGTCTAGAGAAATACCCAATAAGCACAGCAATTATGGACTGATGTTCCTACCAGTGTTCCTCATAAGTTTCCAGAAGTCAAAGAGACTGAGTTGCATATTGCATTTGAACTCTTACTTTTAATAATTCTTGACAGGTTTACCTTCCATTAATCTTGCAAATATTTTTTAAACCTGTATAGATATTTGGCTTGGATCATTCCCAGTGACAGTGACCTCTGCAAGTTAATTTTGTGCTGCATGCAAGTGTACTTATATTTCATTTGTCAGGAAAAAAAGCAGAAAAAAACTATTGGTAAAATACATAACTTACTATAGAAATAATTCTAGAAATATAGAAAAGCTATTACAGAAATAAATCAAAGTTTCATATTCACAGCCTTCTAATAATGAACAAGGGAACTGATAACTGAAAGGAAGATACAGCTTGTATTTTCACTTCCTCAGCAATTCGCAAACTACTGCTGTGTAGTGCAGTTAAAAGACAGAACAAAATGAAATCTATTTTTTACAACTCACTTTTTTTGTTCTATTTCTTTCATTGGCTGGTAATGATCACAAGAAGAATTAGGAATAAGCCATAAAAGTTATTTAATCCCTCTCTATATTCTCCACTTCTTCCCCCCGGCTTCATAAAATAGTCTGACTCTCACCTACACTGATTCTCTCTTACACCATCTCGATAATATAAAATGCAATTTTGTAGGCATTAGCTGTTTCATTAACCTTTCCAGAAACATGCAAATATAAACTCAGAATATTACTTTACAAAAACAGCTCTTCAAAATTCTGATATATTTTATAAAATCAAATTTACCATGATCTGATACAAAAATAATGTTCAGGCATTTATGCAAGTTCATTTGCTTGAGACCATCCATCAGCATCCCTACTATGTTGTCCACTCTCTGCAATGCCATAATGACCTGCAGGACAAAAATAGGAATGTAAAGTAAGTAATTGCTTCAATTCAAAACCAGAATTTATTTCTAGTGAGAGTGAACAAATTTAAACTGTAACAGTATATGCTAATAAAGAACAAGGAGCTCTTATAGATCACTCAAGGCCAGATACAGCCCAGCCATAAATGAAGGACACCTGGGACCTGCAACTGCACAGTAGCCCCCAGACTCATGACAGGGAGCACGTATAGCGCACACTAACAGGAGGAACTGTGAGGACAGGAGACTTGCAGCATTCTCAACACCCCGTTAAACCTGCTTTTTACCTGTTCCTACCTCTCTCAGTTGTACAGCCTTTAGACGCATAGTCTTTACAGGTACTGAGAATGGACACAACAGGTACGCCTACATTGCTACATAAAAATGGGAGCCAGAAGGCTGCCTAGCACCTGCACTGCTCAGGGCTACCTCCACCTACAGAGGATGGGCTATGTCTACACTATACTGCTCTTGGCCCCCATTTTTTCTGGGCCTCACACTGTACTCACAGCTACACATTTGTATGTGTTATTTCACTTGAAGATGTTTTGAAAACAACAAGACCACCAAACAACCTAGATTATAGTCAGTGAAGGCGGTTTTAAAATACGAAACTGAGGATGTTTGTTGCATTACCAGGGGCACAACTGAGGAGGACAGGGAACGCCTAAGGGCGCAGATGCTGATGGGAGAAAACCAGAGGGCTGAAGAGCGGAAGCCAAGCCTGCAGCACTCGTCCTCAAAATCTCTGCTGGGAGAGACCCTGGAGCAAACTGTCCTTGGAATTGTGACTGGATACTAGTCTCAGAGCAAACTAGTTCAAAGGGACTGAAAAAGCCGAGGAACAAGCTACGAGTCTAGCACTGTTGGTGATCGGGGGCCCAGTGTTCAAGCTCGCTTGCATAGGTACAGCCACGAAGGCTACTTCTAAATACTTGATAAGTCAATAAAGCAAAAAACGTATTTTTAAATCAAGTCATTCTATTCCCTCATTGAACTACTGCTACAAGCTGTCCTGCTTTGTATGAACAAAGATAAGTTGTTCCTGGGGAGACTACGTAGAAACACTCTGTGTCTTTCTCTCTGGAGCATTCCTGACACATGGAACTTCAGATCCACTTACTAACCAAAGAAAAGGATAACCAATTTAAACACGTTCCCTATACTGCAGTTCCAGTTCGTGTTCTGCTGCTTCACTGGGCACTTACATTAATCTCACAGTTCCTTACAGGAGCAGTAACTGCTCACACCTCAAGGGAAATTGGCAAGAGCTTTTCACTGCTGTCGCCCTGAGGCTAAATACCTAGTTAAGATGCCCAAACTTCCTAACCATTCAGAGAAGGGGATTTTACAATGTTCCTGAATTTCCAAGAGCTTTTTCCTTTGCAATTTTCACTTTGGTTTGTTAATTGTAAAGCTGTCTAGTACTTATGAAAACAACAGCAGTCCCAAAGATGACTTCTTTATACAATAGGTACACTACAGATTGTGATGGGGTGAATGTCCCTTTTATCTTCCTCTCTGAGGAGACATAAAATCAAACTGCAGGGAAATAAGATCAATACTCATCTAACCTTTGCACAGAGACTTGAATACTTGATCACTAAAACTCAGAACATTACTATAAAAATCTCTGTTCTTGCGAAATTGAAAGTATACAAACTTTGTTCCCCTCCCTGCCCCACTAAAAATCAACATAAAGTAGTAGTAGGAGCAGATAAAACAACATACAAGACATATCCAAACATGCTTTGGCAATTTAAAAGTTATTGAAACAAAGAAAATAAAAATTAGATTTGCTAAATAGACTGTTTATTACATGCTTCGTATCAACGTCAATTATGGATGAGCTGCCTATTCACAAATTTTTTTTCCTAATAACCATACTGAACGTGGTCTTGGTTAATCTAACATCACTTACGGAAGTTTATCACAGAGTTAGAGCAAAGCTTCAAATTAAAAAAAAAAGAAAAAAAATACGAAACCACAAAACTACTTACTCCGCTGCTTACTGGTCCAAACTGATGGCCTGAGGAATCTGGCTCTTCTAAATACAGAGTGTAAAAGTGTGGTCTACATCAAACAGTACCAAAAATGTAATATTTTACATACACGTTGAGACAGTTTGAAGAGATTACATTTCAACAACAGATATCAAATATTGGAAAGAACGCTATCATTCAGAGGAAGGACAAAAGGGAAGTACAGAACTGTAACTTCATAAAAAAAGGTTTCAGTCATGGAAAGGAGCTTGCATTAAATAATATTTTAACATTGTTAGCATAATGCATAAGATATTGTTTAAAACAGAAATCATATTCACAAACTAATTCATTGCAATACCACCTGAACAGGAACTTACACTTGCAGTTGTAAACCTACCTTTTGTCTTCAGGTAACTGCAGCCAGCGAAGAACAGTTACCACCCTTTCTTCAAAGGGGACTGAGCTGTAACAGAACAATACAAGATCAACCAACCACGTGTTTTCAGGAGCTAAGAAAATTTTAGTCTCACATTACAAAACCAATGTATTTTACCAGAGAAAATTGAATTCAACTGGATGCCATTAATGGCTATTTAGCAGGATGCAAGTTTATCTGTGCTAATTGCCTGTGACTCTACAGGAGTTAACGGCCTGATCTAAAGCTCTGTTGAATATTGTCCCCATTGATTGCAATGTGATTAGAATAAAGCTCCCAGTATTGCTTGTGTTTATCATATAAAAAAGAACAATCGGCTTCAAGGTGCAAAATCACGTGCAGGTTTTCATTCCTGTATTATGTGTTGAAAAAGTTTTGTTTTGGGGGTGGGTTTGGTTTTTTTAAAATGTTTAACAGTCTGAATACAAGTCCTCATACTATGCCACAAAGTAGATGCTCTATATCAATTACTGAAGCAGGCCAACAATAAGCATGTTGACCTGTAACAACAAGAGGCACCCACAAAGTTGGGAATTCAGCTGCTTAACACAAGTTCAAGTAACCATGTACAAGTTCCTAGAGAAAAAAAACGTAGGTAATAAGGCAAGAATCAGAATTGCCATGTTATAGGAGGGGTGTAGGAAGAGAAAATGATCCTAGGAAGATAGAAACGAAAAGCCTGGTTTCTTGGCAAGATATGAGATTATTAAATAAAAGGTGATAAACAGGTTTATGCAGAATTTTCATTAGGCAGAAAATGTTTAATTGCAGTAAAGAGCAATCACTGACTAAAATATGACTGCCTTAATGTGAAATATTTCCAAAATTTGCAATGAAAATTGTTTTATATTGGAACAGTTTACCATAGTCAACAGTAAAACTTTAGTTTTCATGGACAATATCAAATCAAGACCAAACCTCTCATACAGTGAGTGGATCGGGATTGAATGACTCTGAACACACCCACCAAAGATTTTTATGAACAGAAACAGAAAAGCATTGAAACTTCAAAGCCGGCTGCTCTTAAAGATGATTTTTCCACATCTTTCCTGCAAAATTTTTTCTACATCTTTCCTGCAAAATATTTGCTGAGGAACGTCAAAATGATTAAACAAAGAATCTGCATTATACTGAAACAAAGTTAATTGGATCGTGTTTTTCTTTCTTGTTGTGTACAACTATTTAGAAAAGCAGGAAAAAAAAAATGTATGCTTTGTCTGGTGTCTGTCCCGTTGCAACAGTTAAAGTACAGTATTCATCCAAGACACAGGAGTTTACATACCTATTGTATTCTTCATACAGGTTTGGAAAGGTTCCATTAACTGCTACATCTGACCCAGGCCAAAAGAACGTACCTGCTTTCAGACCTTGGTATATAGCTGTTAGCCAAATCTGCAGAAGAACAATCGCTATCGTTAGTGCAGCTCACTGAATTAGCTGAGTAACTGCCAGATCCCCCACCACCCTTGCCAGCTCTGCACCCTTCAGCAAGATCAAAAACTAAAAATGTAAGCGGAACACTCTGGGCAGTCAATCTTGCAAGTCATCACTATTTGCAGTCCAGATGCACCTCGCATTCCTCCTGCTGCTATGCCACGTGGAGCCAGGACAGAAGAAGCAACCAGCAGCTCCCACGGATAGAGCCGTAGCACAATGGTAGAACTATGGCTGAACACCAGGAAGGGGAATTGTCTCAAGAACAGTGAAGCAAGAAGGAGTGGGCATGTTCCGAGGACCTATGCCCCCATGTACTTTGAAATACGGGAGCAAGAGTTTGGCCAAATCTTCTGATTTTACTGCTGAACTCATCATTTGCAGATTTCTGTCTGCCTTCTGCGTGTTTTCCTGCCTGACTTGTACACCACTTTCTTCTCAGAGCCCCCATAAAGCCTACACTTGTGTGTTCTTTCCTCAAAAAAATCCCCCTCAAAATCAATTTTAAAATTAGAAAATTAAAAAAAAAAAAAAAAAAAGGTCCTTCCCACGTTACTAAATAGTTGCATCTGTTCCGTTGCTACTCTTCAGGCTACCACTCACCCAGACTTTCCCATACCACTTCATTTTGATGGCAGATTTGCCACAGTTGTATGATTGATTCGAGACGTTTTCTTTTAAAACCGCATCTTTAGACTTAGTGGCAATTCAGGCAGAGTGTAAACCTTTACTACTGCTTATTACTAAAACTAACTGGTCTGTCAGTCACCTCAGAGAAGTTAACTGCAAGCCCATATTAAAAACGGAACAAAATCTGGTATCTCCATTAGTTATTTTAAGCCAGTTTCGTCCTTCGGGAAAATTCCATTTAAGTTCAACAAAATCTGTAACACTTTGTTTCGTTTGTCATTTTGCAGCTCTACTATGGCAATTCCTAATCCTGCTGAGTAATGCTTCTTGGCTGACTTAGAAGTACCCTCTGTACTCTTTCACAGCGCCATGCATCCAAGTGATATTGAGTAACATAACAACTGGCTGATGTAAATTCTCAGCAGTGTATTAATACTTACAGGCTGTCCTTGGTACCACTGTGGATTAAACTTCTCTTCACTTTTAAGTGTGAAGGATGCGTTTCTTTTGGGGTCATACATCTTGTTATCAATTACACCATGAGATTCAGGATACAGGCCCTGTAATTGAGAGTATACCTTGTCAAAATGTTCTAAAGAAAAAGAACCTTCTGGCTACATAAGCAGATGTCAGTTAGACAAATATGTCCAGTGAATAATCTACATATGACTTTTACTCCACCAGTAACTCAAGACACAGATTTAACAGCATCACCTACCACTGCCACCAAGCTCTACCTTCTAATTCTTAACTGCTTCTCAATGACATTAAATTTAAAGGCCTTCCAAAGAAATAAAAAAAAAAAAAAAAACCACAAACAAAAAAAAAACCCCACCCACAGGCAAGCAACTTGCTCTGGAATCAAATTGAAAAACACTGTTTTAGTTCACGCACGTGTTGTATCTCCAGTACCAGTGACAAAGCAATGACCTATGCTGGACCTCCATCACATGCCCAAAACCCAGGGATTTCAAAGGAGACTTGACTATCAGCAGGTGAAAGCTCTAGCTGGGGATAACCATTACACAAGCAGAGAAAGACGTGCTCAGAGGTACCTGCTCTTAGGTAGCTTTAACAGACTTTGTGCTCTGCCTTCAAGCAGACTTGCTCCTTTCTACGTTAAAGGATGTAACCACCACCACCATCAGGACCCTGATAAACACCAGGACCTGCTACTTTTCCCAAGAATGGGGAGCCGAGACAAAGCTCTATTCTGTACTTAGGGACACTCTCACAAGGCTGCAGGGCATGATTAATGCCTCTTAGTTGCACATTCAATCATGGATATTTGTAAGGATTACACAATTAAACATCTCATTCCTGAACCTGTGCTCCTCACTTACCAAAAGTCCTGACAAACTGCAAAGAAAGAACATGCAGATCCTCAAGTATTTGACTGAATTTTAGTTCTGACATGACGAAACTAAGAAGGATCTGCTGGATTCCAACCCTGGATTCCACACCTGCATTCGCTGTTGAAAATCTCCATGTTTCTTTTTGCTGCTGTATGCAGGAGGTAACAAATTTACAGGATCAGCTTTGTGACATTCCTATCCAGATTTGGGTACAGTCCATCACAGAGTCAACATCAATGTGATGGTCAAATCTTTCCCTTCATTTCATACTCTTCTTTGCATCATGCCAAGCTACCTTAAAGAAGTGGAACAAGGCTGGCAGTTTAAAGGAGCTGGGCTGCTTTCACTCTGAGAGAGCACGAGCGAGCTGCAATTTAGCGGAAATATTTATACAAAAGAGGAGTTGTAAAGCGATGTGCTCTTCCACCTGTATGGAAATTCTTGCAGCTAGTCTTGGAAGAACTGGGTTACTTAATCAGATTAGATCTGACCACTTAGCTGTAGTGTTAATCTAAATTAAAGAGTATAATATTCATATTATGAAGGGAACTCCTGTTATTTTCATAATCCATTGAAAATATAATATTCTCTTGGAGACAACTTGATAATGAACAGTCTCTTCAGTAGTGGAAACATAATATACAGAAATTCTTACTGTGACGATGGAGTAATGATTGGGAAAGGTTTTTGAAGGATACACTGGTCTCATATTGGAAGTGTATGTTCCACATTTCCCTAGAGGGAGGAAGAAGGAAAATCAAAAAAATTACAGAAATAAATACCCTTGCAAGTTTATCTCATGAAGACATACCTATTGAAAAGAAGAAAAAAGAAAAAAAGAAAAAGAGATTTCCAGAAAGTTTTCATTCTTCAAAATTCTGGAGTTAATACTTCATTTTTCTTCCCACATTCATTTACAAGCTGACTGGCTATTAATACAGATTTTGTATGTTCCTACTGACTGACTTCAATGGTCACATGAGCAAATCCTACAGTCCTTCTCAAAATCATGTATAACTAAGAATGAATAATCAAAGCAAAAGTTCCCCTGGTGCGCAGCAAGTGAAGTCTGCAGCCTCAGACCACCTAGTTACTTCACCCTGGGTGCTCCCAGAGATGAAGTGGCCACTGGCACAGTGGCACCCTGGCTCTCTCAGTCACCTGTCAAATCACTATTTCTTTTGCATTGTTCTATTTGTTTTTTGTTTTTTTTTTTTAAATAAAAATAAGCTCCTATTCTAGGATGAAAAAGTTTTCTTCATCTGGCTATAAAACTCATAAGTTTTTAGTGAGATTGGTGCACAGTATTTGCTCATATGAAGAGTCATTAGCCAGGCCAAAGCACTTAAGCAAACCTTACTTAAGTTAGGTGCCTAAATTTCCACACAAATATATGGGCCTCGATTTTCAGAAAAAAATTTTAAAAAGAGGGAAAAAGAAGCACCATCACTCACAAATTCAAAAATACTATAAGAGAACCAAAACCACTTCAACTGATGCTAAAGAGCCAAATGTAATGATCCTATAGACTGCCCCACTAGGCAGTCTTCACTGACCCTTTGTGTCATTACATGCAATATAAATAAAACAGAAATTAGAGGTTTGATAACATAAAAAGTGTTGCATCAAGACACTTTGAACTCATTGGTCTGGGGCTTTGGGTTAGATCTAAGCTGAAACACTCAATTTGAGTTAATCAAGATAAGATAAATCCTTTCAAGTTACACAGACATCCTCTCCCACATTGGCACTCTGTAGTAACAAATCATCACTTGTATCCTTAATGCTACTGCAGCACACTTGGCACATTTCAACCATTTCCAAATCTATTGTTGAGGCTGTTTTCCCAAATCATAGGTTTTTTGGCGGGGGCGGGGGAGAGGGAGGTTAGGGGTTTTTTTGTTTTTAAAGTAAGAGAAAAATACACTTAAACCTTGTTTTGTCCAAAATCCTAGGCGGGTTTGCTGGGGCTTTCCACAGAAGTTATCTTTCTTCTTTTTGGCTTGTTGCCTTAGTTAGTTAAAGATAACTGAAGATAAAAGGAGGATTTATTTAAAAATTACGATATTGCAGCATAGAAGTACTCATAAATGTCCTCTCTGAACCCCATACACACATTATGGCTGTTCCTGGGTTCACTGAGAACCCTCAGCTCCATGCTGAATTGCCCACCTTTCAGCAGGTAGCAGAGTATGCGTGTGTATAATAAAACTTGCCAGAAGTGAAATTTTGATATTGGCTTGCAGGCATCTGCTCTAACAAATTTCTCCAAGGAGATACCAGAATTTCATTGTAGGCATGGCTGGATTAAAAATATTCCTGTTATCTAGTCCTGTATCTAACAGGATGCTTGGGCTTGTCATCAAGTGTTTTAAGGAGGAAAATCCAGGGATTTAGCACAGTTCTAATTTAATAAAGAAGTAGGCTGTGAGAGAAGTTACTTAATGCAAATAACTGTTCACTGCTTTGTAAATGCTGTCAGTCAGAAACTGTGTGTCTTTTTGACCATTCACCACTCCTGTAAATGGATGAGCTAAACTATGACCTTCAAAAGGATTCAATACAGTTTTTCAGCAACAGTTAAGCAATTTATCCATTGTTGTTACTTGTCTACAACAGAGGAACAGATTTCATTTCACTTTCCTGCACAGTAAAACACTGTCACACTATTTACACACTCATAGAAATGTTCACCTTCACAATATCACTGCTTCCACCGTTTTCAGTGCCTACAGACTCACGGGACATGAAGCACATGGAGTTTTTAGACCGTGGGCCCTCAGCATGTCATGTGATATACACCCGAGAGACTATTTTCTCTTACTGAAGAATGTTTGCCTTATCTGAGCTTTTCACTCACCATTTTACTGGGGGGGGGAGACTAAAAAGCAAGGGTTTGTAACAAGAGAAAGCTGAGGATCTCGTAGTATATTGTATTGTAAAAGTCTATCAGATCACAAAAAAAGTTCCAGAATAATGTAGAACTGTAGACATAATGCAGAAATAATATTTTTCCCCAAACTGTTTTTACTTTATTGTGTCTAAAACAATGTATTATTAGCATTCTGGTTTTAGAACCTTTTAAAAATGTAAGTTTTGATCATCAGAAACTCCACGGTTCTGGAGAAGTGAAGTTACTTTGATGAAGATAAGATATTTGTATTTCTTAGCGGTCAGAATTTATCACGGGTTCAGTAGCACCAGAAATACAAGTTTATTATAGAAATCCATGACAGAAGTTGCACTGTAGCCTATCCGGACCAAAGAATGAAGAATCTTTATATGTGGAAGTGGATGTCACAGCCTGGAAGTCCTACAGATGCCTTGCGGCACTGTCATCTCATATCTCAGCCAGAGCCAGAGCTGAGATATTACCATTTGTAAGAGTCAGCCCCTCCTCTCAATGCCCAAAAAGTCTTCTTCAGTTTAAATTTTTTATTACTGCATCTAATGAAATTGTTTCAAACATCTCTTTATTCCAACATGGAACGAAACGAAAAAAGCTAAAACCTCAAATACATCTGTGAATTGTTATCCTCTGGAACTGATCAAGTTGTAACAACCACTGTAAAAAAAAAAAGCAAGTATTTTTACTGGTTTATTTTTATTCAAACTGAAACCAGCTACCCCAGGTAGTAATTTATGAATGACAAGAAGATTGGCATATTTTTCAGACAAGAAATGCCATCGGTTTTCACAGACCACAGCCAAAATAGAGACAGGAAAAGTAACTAAAGTTACTTAGACACTACAAAGTTAAGTAAGACACTATAAAACCTAGGGAAAAAATACATACTTATGAGTCCTTCATTGCTTCTGAAAATGTTTGTTAAATGAAGGTTTTCTCAGACTCATTACAACATTTCTACCAGCCCTTCTGTATCATCTGTTCCTAATCTCTCCCTTCTCTATCTCCCTTCTCAAAGGTAATGAAATGCTTTCTACCTTGCTTTCCATTTTCCAAAGCCATTCCACCCAAATATCTTACAATATGCAATATAGAGTAAAAAGTGGGTTTACTTCTATTTTGAAGAAATAAAGTAAGCTCACAGCAAAAAGCATCCACCTCCTAAATATAGCAAGGACTCCTTAGTTCTTAAGGTTCCACTGAAAATCCAAAGGGCCCTTTCCTCATGCCCTCCTTCTCTTTGCCCTTCCATCCTCCAGCACTTCCAGTTCTCTGCACATAGCTGTATTTAGAGCAACGCCCTCCATTTCCAAGGAAGGGGAGTGAGGATTTTAAGGAATAAGCATAGCTGCACCTATGGATTTTTCAGGTAAGACATCATGATATTGCTTAGACAGTGAAACTACTCACGCAATTTGCTAATAACAGGTAGAAGTCCACCCCAAGTCTGCAGATATTCTGCTCTGAAGCCATCCAATGACAACAGTAACACCGGAGACTCGGTAAATCTGAAGAAACAGAAATCAAAGTATTAAAAGACAGACTCTGAGAAATAATTTCGCACCACTTATCCCAAGAACGTTTCCCCCAAACCCTGGGTATGTTCGTCACAGGACTACACAGCAGGCGGAGGGTGGAAGCCCTCCCGAGCAGAAAGGTTCGCAGGCTGGTGCCGCGGCAAGCAGAGCATCTGTCCCATCCCACTGCTCGCCAGCCCAAAGACGCATGCGCTAGGGCATGCACAGGGAAACCGCAACAAGGCCTGATTTCACAAACATCCATAAAACAAAGAACAAGCCAAAACACTCATGTAATCTGTCTGGTGGGCTTGGTATTCCTTGTCTTGAAATCAGTCCCACTGGAGCAACACTCAGCCCCGCCAACCCCCCTCCTCCGCCCCCACCACC